GATGACTTCTTAGTTGTTCTGCCTCCACATCCTTTTACAGTCTCACTCGTTCATATGGGATTAAGATAACATAATTGTGAGACCATATGAAAAAATAAGATTTTTTATTACCGAATGCTTCTTGCATGTAATGTCAGATTATTCACACTACTTGCGATATTTTTATACATTACATTTCATATTTTGACATATTTATTTTATCATTTCAGGTCAATACATTCTGATGTACGAAAATTTCACATGTGAAAGATTTCAATATGATGAAGAGTTGTGAAAATTATTTGAAGTCATTATCAACAGAATTGGTTATATTAGTATGAACAATATAAGGTTTTCTTTTATGTTGTGACATTAATATTTTGGTTTACTACTTTCTTTTGTTTGTTTTAAATTAAGCAAGTTATTTTATGAATTAATAGTAATATATTTTTAATGTCAAACTTCTTTGCCACCAAGAGGCTCTCTTTACTAACAATTTTGTTGGATTTACTAGTAATATTTTCTGGACAAACGCAATCATTGTTAATGACGGCTAAATGATCGTCGTTAAAGCTTGTGATTTTAGTGACAATTTAATTGAATTTTCTGGCAATAGAGATGGTCGCTAAAGGGATAAATTAAGACGTTTTCACAATGGATATTGTAGCCATTCTATTTGCCACAAATAATAGCTATTAAAACTATAAACTTTTAGTGGCAATTTAATCAAATATACCGGCTATAAAGATGAACGCTAAAAGAGCATAGTTAGCCGTTATGTATTGGATTCAGCAGCCAAAATAATTGCCGCAAATAATTACCGTTAAAACTAATAGTGTTTAGCGGCCATAAACCATACCTTTTACCAGCTTTTGTTCGAATAGCCGCTAAAGGCTTTACCGACCCCCGCATTGCCGTCTAAAAAACAGTGGCCGGTATAGCTTCTAGCGGTGATTATTATTGCCGCTACAGGCATTTTTAATTGCCACTAAAGCCCCTTTTTGTAGTAGTGAGGCAAAGCATGAGTGCATGAAGCTCACCCGCATTTTGGCCAAAGCGACGTTGCATCAATTTTAAACGAATTTATATTCGACCTCGCTCGAATTTTCATTCGACCCCGATCGAATCAGCATTCGACTCCGCTCGAATCTGCATTCGACTCCGCTCAAATCTGCAT